AGCAGATTACCACCGGGGACAAAAGCTCTCTACCACCGCAGCGATGAGCCACACAGCACCGCTGCACGCTCATCTGGCCCCTTTTGAAAAGAGGTCAGCAGTGCACTGAGCCAGGTTCGTGAACAAAAGACAGTTGTATAACACTGCACAATCTGGGCTCTGTTTACAAGGCTGCAGGCCTGGCTGAAATATTCGGGTGTCAAAGAAGGTCACCTGTCAACTTAGAGCAGTGCCTGAAGATTACTCCGTGCGGCTATAAACGACTGTTAAATGGAATGATGAATTGTTGAAGGATTTTGAAAACGGAAAAAATGATAGCCATGCCGGCCCAGCATCCTCAATGTTGAAAAATGCCCCGGCACGAAGTGGTTAATGCTACAGTTGAGACCCTTGTGTTTCTTCCATCTTGCTATTGCTGTGCTTGATCTATTGGACTTGTTAGAACTCAATTGACTGCACACGCACACCTGCGAACCTCCCTAACGGTGCTACAACAAAAATCGAGGCTTGAAATGAGACTACCAAAGCCGACCCTTGCAATGCCGACCGTAACATTCAGTGATATTTCTATGTCGAATTACACAGGTCAGGTGTAACAGGGACACAAAAATATCACACTTTTGGACCCAATATTTATAGAATGACCCATACGTAAGACTGAAGACTTCTAGTACCTGATTCGCATGCCACCTGCCCACCGCGACGACACTGGCATTGTTCACTGCCCACAACAAAGGATTCACCAAGCTGTCCAAAAGAGAACAATAAAGCAGATTTTATCCTGTTGTATGGTTTAATTAAAACCTCTTCAGCTTAAAAAAGATGACCCAAAAATATCCATGTGTCAACTCCTGCTGTTTATGATGAAAGTGCTTAATATGTCACTTTCATCTAATTTGCCCTCAAGAAGAATAAACAAGTGTTACTTTTCAGACATTTGAGGTGGATAAAAAAATGCTGCTTTGAAATAGGTGCACTGAAATGTGTGACACACAGGGTTCCAACACCTAAAGGACAATTAAATTCCATGATTTTTCCATAACCAAATTATGAAAATCCATGACCAAATAATGCAATTTCTTGGACTATTCGGCCTTTTAGGTTGCAAATACAATCACAGATTTCTGATAATAGAAATCACAGTGTTTTATGACTTCCATGAGAAAATTCCATGACTTTAGTCATTTTTACAAAATTCCATGACTTTTCCAGGCCTGAAAATGGAAAAACAAATTTCCATGACTTTTCATGACCTTTCCAGGCCGCAGGAACCCTGCACACAGAAAACTGCAATATCATGATGCTGTTTTCAAATTTTGGCACATTATTTTCGAATTCTGCGATTCTGACAATTGAAAAAGAAAGATTTTGAATTATGAAAATGACAGAAAGTCATTCCATTTCTGTAGGTGATGGCGCATAGGTCGTTCCACAGTTGCGTGTTTGCACTATGTGCCGGCAAGCTCACCTGGAAGTACTCATTTTCACCGTCACCATTGGTGTCATACAGACACCCGCAGTTGGCCTCCTCCACGCACATGTCGTCCGAGTCCAGCACGGTACCCAGCGGGCATGCACATCCAACTTTGCATTGATAGGTGCAAGCTATTGGCTGGCCTTTGCGGACAATTGCACAGGTCGTTGGGCAGGCGCTACCACATGTCTGGTATACCTTGCCGTTGTTGCAGAAGTCTATCAAGTATTTAAAAAAAAAAATAATAACAGAAAAAGTAGAAAAGGAGAGGGGCATAGCGTCACTGATTTGTACAATCGCAGGCCCTTCAAATGGGTATTCATGGCAAAGAACTTACAAGTATTCTGAGAAAATTGCTGCAAGCTGGTAATAATTTTGCAGTTGCTAAGGAGGCTCATGCAAAACAACAAAACAAAACAAAACCCTACACCAAAACCAAACCCAAACCAAACCCCCAAAAAACAACAAACAAACAAACAAACCCCTCCATATGCCATTAGGATTTATGTGGGGTTTGAAGTAACGTCATCATTCCAGTGAATTTGGTTCAGGGGGCAGTAAATAGTGTCATGTGACCTATTCCCAAGCGCGCTGCTTGTGGGATGTGACGTGTGTACTCTGTGGTTCATTTGTATATAGTGCCACACCGTCACAACTTATTTTCACCTGAATGGGAACAAACATGTAGCATCTGTGTGTCTTGGGCATTCCAGTGTTTTGTGCATTGAGTCCATACATACTGAAAATGCTCTGTATGATGTGGAAAAGTAATCAAGACTACCGGTAGCTGTGAAAGATTACGTCAGACCTGACACTTTCTTGATACCAAATGCTTTGTACTTGAAAACTTCAGTGGTTAATCTGTCTTTCAATCCCCCCCCCCCAATATTTTGGATCTAGGAAGCAAACTCACCTGCAGGAGGCAGATTGCAATGACAAGTCTCGCATCCATTCGCATCTTTGGCTCGACCATACTGGCATCCAGTCAGACCACAGTCAACAGGGACACAGGCTTTGGCAAACAAACAAGAAAAAATGGAATTGCTTATAAATGTATCTGAATTATCCATTATTTTTTCACAGTTCCACTTGTGTACATGTTCTAAAAAAACTTCAGTGTTTTTAGTGACAGTATGGCTTTATCTTTTTTCCCTGCATCAGTACACTTTTGAATATAACAGGTAACTTTGATAATATTGGCGAAGTACAAAGAGCTGATGTCACACATTTTTATGAAGGTACAAAATTACCTTTCCTTTCTCAGTGATAATGTACTGATGTACTGATTATCAAAAGTAGGGGACTGATCACATGAATAATTCTTTCAGACTGTGCCCTCGGACCGTGCCCCATACCTGTCAAGCACTGGTAGCCACAGCCGTTGTGACAGCATTTTTTGCCTGTGTCGCATAGCGAATCGGGTATACAGGAGTTCATGCAGATGCCAAAAGTCCCTTCCCTGGGTTCTGGACACACCAACTCTGCAGAACGGAGTCCGGAACAAGATGGTTTTCATCAAGAATGTCATGACTCAATCTCATTACGTGACGTAATTTGGAATGCCAGAACTTACGACATATTGCAGTTTGTAGTCAAGGACTATTAATGAGTACAGTGTAATATAAGATATGTAAAAATGACTCTTACGAGGCACTGCACTGTGACGTAATGCGGCAATTTGTGAAACTGGGCGGACAAGTCTTGTACCAAGGGTACAAGACAGGGAAAGGGATAGTCTTACCATCTGGGGAAGGTAAGCAGTCACATGTTAAGCAACCATTCTCATCTGACACAAAGCCATGGGGGCAATCCTCCGAGCACTGAGGTGTGAAACAAACTGTAGGAGGGAAAAGACAGAATTTGTAAAAAGCAAGTCATCATCACCTATGACAGCAATGCAGCCATGCACTTTTGAGTGGAACTCAGACCTTCGATTGAAAATGAAGACCCCAATGATTGGTGTCATATTAGCATGGTCACCATGCTTGGTTTTGTTGGCTGAACTGTAAAATTTAACTCACTGATAAGCTGTTAAGGATGGTTTTGAGAGTCACCTAGGATTTAAGGTAATAGTCCAAGGAACTTGAAAAACAAATCAGATAATATCTTGACAACTTCAGCTTTTCAAACAAATGAAGGAATTTGAAATTTGACAGCCCCCTAGTCTTTGAATATACAGGATGGGGTAAAAAGGGAGACCAGTGAGAAAAGGCATGAAGAATAAAACATAGGCTGTTATTTATAAACTTTTCAAAAATTAAACGAATCAAAATAAGTGGTACAAAACCAAGTACATGCACAAAACTTGATTCTTTATGGCACATGGGACCATCAATTTAACATGTAATCAAAATGACACACAGTACCAATGAAACTGAAGAAAAAATGTCTAGTTTTGAGAGAAAAACTTGGACAAATTTAAACACATAACAATTACGTGTGCCAACTATGGAGTAAAAAAAAAATTCTGTTCTTACTGGAGGAAATTGTGCTTTAATTGACGATTCAGTTTACAGATGACCTTATAGAACTGCATACATTTAAACTGCTGAGTTTATTTACTGGATCCATTGTCAGATTGGGATATATGTGAGCACTGTGCTGAATTCCAAACTAGTCTACTGTTAGAGAAATCAGATAGATTTATGAAGCCCACCTTGTGGTTGATGGCATTCACAGATCTCGCATCCTCTTTTATCCCGAGCCCAACCGTGCTCACACTGCATCCTGCATGAAACGGGTTGGCAGCCTGTGCAACATCAAGGACAAAAAACGTGGTTGAGAGTGTAAAAGCTCATGAATGATCTATTTTTGAGTGACTTACAGGAGAGTCACTAACGGGGGCTTTGCGTTTACGGCATAAGAAAGTTGCAACAACTAACATGCATGGATTTCAACACCAATCTGAATATCTGAAGGTATTTTGACACTGCTAATTCATAAAATACAAAACTTGGTTGCTTGATAAAAGACTTTGCCAACATTGGTGGAAATGCTACACAGTCAGGTAGGGGTTGTTGTCCTCTGCTTTCACAATGACACTGCACTGGTATGAATATATAATGGATGCATGAGCCCTTATTGGTTGAAATTGGATGTGCTTGGAAATTGCTCACTGGATTATGAGCAATTGATATTAAGAGGAATGCTTTGGCATTCACAAGATAAAAAAACTGTTTCTGACATAATTACTGAGATCAGAACGAAAGACCACAATTGCTTGCAAAACGAATTGCCGTAGGTCTCAACCAATGACCGACAAAGCTGCTGGTCACAATGGGCAAAACCCACCCCTGTTTGGCAGAGTTCATACTCCAAGCTCACAAACAGAGAGATATGAAGAAAGCTTGAAAGCCATTTTTGCTAAAGCAACTAATGCCAAAGTAAAGATGCTGTGGGATTGTGCACATTGAAATAAAAATCTGTTATGCTCTCTGCACTGTGTGCGGTCTGTCTCATACAATGGACCATTCTTCAGTGGTGATGTAATGCCTTCGACTGTGCTTGCCAAGAGTCCATAGCAGCTTGGTCTTCTTGCAGTCTTTAATAAGTGCAAACCACAAAAATGGAACAAATGCAAACTGAATGCACATTCTAATAAAATGAACCTTCAACACAGGTATGTCCGCATCCATTGAAGCAGCATTTCTCAGTTTCCCCTGAGCAAGGGTTGTCTGCACCACAGCTCTCCACACAAAGTCCGGCAGTGCCCGACTCAAGCACAGGGCACAGCAGGTCTAAAAAAGCACAGATTGAGAAGAAACTTACTGAGCAATATTCATTGGTATTACAGTGTACAAAAGTGGGCAGACCCCTTGAGCTAAAATTTCCTGCAAAGAGTTGTGATGATTTCAATACAATAATTTCAATATAATAAAAAAAGACTGACATAAATTTACTCTATTGTTCCGTATACTGCCTTTGCACAAGGACATGGTAGTTCATAGCACAATTTATAAGGATCTCTTCTGTGTGTAAGGAACAATGAGTTTATCAGAGGGCTATGTGGTGTGTTATCTCTGTGCGGTTCTTCTAACGAACCAATGGAGAGCAAATAATTTCGCAAAGGACCACACATGCACAAAGTCAGCCACAAAGATGAAGAGTGGCCCCTGCTGAGGAAATGACTGGTAGTACATCACTGCACTGTGCGTCATTACTTGACCTAACGGCTATGCTGAAGAACTGTTGAACACAATGTTTAGCCAATGAGCAGTGTGGTATTTCAAAAAGGCAATGTCTTTCAGGAGCAAAGCAAACACGTGAGTCAGTGTATCGCTGTGCTGATAGGACGGACTATCGCGTGCCGCTGTTCCTGAATAGCCTACAATGTGCTTCAGCTTAGGCATGTGCTATTGGAATACCGAACTGGCTCATTCATGAACTGGCACTCTCTCAACTTGGGCACTTGATGTTACAAACTGACAAACAAACTGACAAATGCATGCTGAAAACAAGCAATATTTCACAGTGCCCATGACCTATGTACATGAGGGTACATAGAACCAACATGTAAAGCATGTATGTGCCTTAAGCTAAACCCAAGCATGCATGTACGTTTCCAACAAGTGATACAGGGGAGACCTGTTTGCAACAGTCCCTACACCGATGACAGGCAGTCAACGTCACATCAGGACACAGCTCAAGCTGAATGGAAGGAAATAAATTTGTGATACAAAATTTGTTGACCCTGTCGTTGTTTCAAACAGTAGTCTCAGATGATCACACCTGCTGTCAGATCAATCCTTCAGAACTAAGGTTGAACACAGTGAACAGACCCCGGCAGGGTTTGCATAACGGATCCTCTCCAGAATCCTAGCTCTCACCCTCAGCAGAGGCCCTGAACAAAGGAGATCTGGGGACGATTCTGGACAAACTCACCACTCCCTGGTTCGTCAGCACACTGGCAAATTTCACAGCCTCGCTTGTCCCTGGCCCAGCCGTATCTGCAGTACATATAGCACAAGACTGGTCGACAGGCTGTAAAGAGATCCACCAATGAAAAGAAAACCAAAATCTCTGTCAATGACAGTTAGAATTGAGTCCATCATGAGTGAAATCTCTAATCAGTTTTCAAGTAATGGGAAGAAAAACGACAAAATTTTCATGCTTGATTTTAATGGCTTGTTTGTGGTTTTTGCACATGCAGCCTGCTTACCGAAAAGCTAATTAGTTGTAGCTCACAAGCAAAATAGGGCAAAACCGGAGCAACAACCAATTAACTGCTGTCTCATTAGAAACGGTGGTTAAGGAAACAGACTGGTTGGCTGAACCATGTGAGAAAATGTATGTACATTTTATTTCTGTTCAGAATTTTACCTGATCCCATTGGAAAGACCAGTGCCATTGACTAATGAATGTGAAGGAGGTCTGCAAACAGCAAACACGTTTGCCACTATCGAGTTGGACAACCCACCTTCTATGCAGGAATGGCCACACCCATTGGAGCAACACTTCTCGTTGACTTGGCACTCCTCATCTGACTGGCAGTCGTCGGAGCAGATTCCGCCTACACCTTCTTGGACTGGCGGACATGTCAGTTCTAAAGAGAGGGTATTGAAACATGATGTTTTCCATTTTTACTACTCTTTTTTAATCCTTTACAAAATTGGATTATAACAAATGAGGGCACACAAGCATCTCCTTTGTTTTTTTAGTAAAGCAAAGATTTTGGCTGAAACATTCACTGGTTGTTATTAATCAGAACTTTATACATCTTATTTATTCACTTATGAATCTATGAACCTACAGAAAGACTTACATGCATGTGATCATGCTATAATTTAAGGATTCAGCACCGACCAGGGCATGTTTCTGCAACACCCTTTACAAAAAACTGTTTGTGATGTCAAAGCAATATCTAGGAACATGTTTACAGTGGCCCACAAAATACAGACGGTGTCAGCAGAAGACATTGCTGACAAAAATTACTTTCACTTAATATTCGGCAAGTTTCTAACAACTGCTGCTCTCTTCTGTCACATGCCAGTGGATGTACCCATGTGAATTGCTGCGTGCAACAATATGGGCGATTCATAATAGTGCATCACCAAGAGTTTGCAACACGTTGGCCAATCACAATGCACAAAATCGGTTGATCCAATGCGCATTCAGAAAGTCTGATCAATCTCAAACTTGGTATAGTAATTAACCATCATCAGAAGATGTGCCCCGAAACTTTTTATAATCCTGACATCATCTGGGGTCATGTGACCTCAATTCAAAAGTTCATT